CGCACACTCACCAGGCAGACGCACACTCACCAGGCAGACGCACACTCACCAGGCAGACGCACACTCACCAGGCAGACGCACACTCACCAGGCAGACGCACACTCACCAGGCAGACGCACACTCACCAGGCAGACGCACACTCACCAGGCAGACGCACACTCACCAGGCAGACGCACACTCACCAGGCAGACGCACACTCACCAGGCAGACGCACACTCACCAGGCAGACGCACACTCACCAGGCAGACGCACACTCACCAGGCAGACGCACACTCACCAGGCAGACGCACACTCACCAGGCAGACGCACACTCACCAGGCAGACGCACACTCACCAGGCAGACGCACACTCACCAGGCAGACGCACACTCACCAGGCAGACGCACACTCACCAGGCAGACGCACACTCACCAGGCAGACGCACACTCACCAGGCAGACGCACACTCACCAGGCAGACGCACACTCACCAGGCAGACGCACACTCACCAGGCAGACGCACACTCACCAGGCAGACGCACACTCACCAGGCAGACGCACACTCACCAGGCAGACGCACACTCACCAGGCAGACGCACACTCACCAGGCAGACGCACACTCACCAGGCAGACGCACACTCACCAGGCAGACGCACACTCACCAGGCAGACGCACACTCACCAGGCAGACGCACACTCACCAGGCAGACGCACACTCACCAGGCAGACGGACACACACTCACCAGGCAGACGTACACTTACCAGGCAGAGGCACACACACCAGGCAAATGCACACTCACCAGGCAAATGCACACTCACCAGGCAGGCGCACACTCACCAGGCAGAGGCACACTCACCAGGCGGGCACACACTCACCAGGCAGACGCACACTCACCAGGCAGATGGATGCACACTCACCAGGCAGACGCAGACGGTGCAGTTCTCCGCGGGAGGGGAAAACACGGCCCCCTCGGCTCTGATGACGCCACCGTGGAAACAGCCTGTGGGGACAGACAGGCGGGAGGGCGTCAGACCTCCTCAAAGCAGAGGTGGTGTCACCGCCATTCCCGGCAGCACACACCTGGCCTGGCGCCTTCTCTCAGGGCGGGAGGCCCCGGGGCGGGGAGGCCCGGGAGGGGCGGATCCGGGTCCCCAGCACTGGGTGGGCTAAGCCCCCTGGAGAGCTACCGGGAGACACCCCAGAGGACGCCCCTGGGAGGGGCAGAGAGGGTTCCATGTCCAACAAAACCAAAACTGCGCTGAGGGCATGAGCTTTACTCCCATCCTGTCGGAAAGGCAGCCCTGACGCTCAGGTCCCCGAGTGGCCTGGCCATGGCCCTCACCCTCTCTGGGCTCCTGTGAAATGGAAACGCCAGCACGTGCCCTGCAGGGGGCTTGGGAGGGTCCACAAACTCAGACGTAAAGTACCCAGCACTTCACTCTACGGCTCGGTACAACGTAGGGACCAGGAAAAGGTCACGACTATCACCCAGAAGCCGGCAGGGGCCTTGGTACCCTAACCCACAGGGAGACGTTTTCACTGCCAAGTGCAGCGGCCACGGCACCCTATCACCACACAAATGCACACTCAGGCCCCCCAGCTCCACCCAACAGAACCTGCTTTCTGACAAGACCCCCAGCGGTGCGTGTGCACAGTGAGTTTTGAGGAGCTCTGTCGAAGGGCCTGTTAAGATTGGGGTCTTTATCCTACAGCAACAGGATGCAAAGGAAAGACTGTAAGCGGATGGTAGGAGGAAATCAGAAGGGGTGCAATTTACAAAGGGCTACTCCTCTGGCTACAGGATGGGGCGAGGGAAAGGGACTGCAGCGTGCATGCGGAGAGACTCATGGAATGAATGGATGGATGGATGAATGGATGGATGGATGGAATGAATGGATGAATGGATGAATGGATGAATGGAGGGATGAAGCTCAGAGGGATCCCAGAAGATGAAAAGTCCCCCTAGAGGGATATCACAGCCTAGACCAGCGGTTCTGACTGTGGTCCCTGGACCAGCAGCATCACCTGGGAACTTGGTAGGAATGCTGATTCCTGGCCCCACAAGTGCTCAATGGGAAGCTCTGGGGTGGGGCCCAGGGGCCCCCCTTCAGGTGATCCTAAGGTCTGAGAGCAGCCTATCAGCTGCGGAAGGGCTGGGGGAGGGAAGAGGCGGGACCACATGGGGAACCCACAGCCTCCCTGGACCAGCTCCCACCTGTACAGGACGGACAGCACCCCCCGTCTCCGGAGGGGATCGGGTGGGAACAAGCAGCTTCACACGTCGCCTCCTCACAGGTCACCTGCCCGTCCTGGAAGTGGGAGCTCCGGTCACCACAAGACCCCGCACCCGACCGGGGCAGCCCGAGGACTCTCACCCACCTCGCACCAGCACTGGGAACACCCGGGCTCTGTCCAGTGGCTCCCCGAGTCGTGCATGGCTCCCAGATGCCAGCAGGCAGAGGGCCCCTGTGTGGGCTGTGGGGCTGTGGGGCTCCTGGGCAAGGAAGGGATAACCCCCTTCTCCTGCGGTTGTGAGGAAGGTCTGAGGGTCCTGAACAGGGGGATGCTAGGCACTGGGGTGGCCATTGGGGTGGACGGCAGCCTTGCCAGGACGGAAGGGGAGGCTGCTGGTAGTGCAGAGGTGTGAGCGGGCGGGCAGGTGGTCCGGACTCCCGCTGGGGGCCCGGGAGCCCCAGGAGGGGGGTGTCCCGGGGAGAGGGCCGGCCGGCTGGCCTCGGGCAGCAGCAGCATGTTGGGCGGGGGCTGCAGGATGGCGGATGGGGCCAGCACGGCCGTCGGGAACGCTGGAACGGAAGCACAGGGCCGTCCTGAGGGAGGTGGGACCGAGGGGCTGGACTCAGCGCCACCGCAGTCACCGAACGCCTCTGGGCCCGTTTCTCCAACGTGATGGGTCCCGCGCCAGCCGTGCGGCTCTAAAGTACTTGGTCTGCGACGCGGTCACACAGGGAGGCGGATGGGGAAGGAGCCAGAGCGCAGGCAGCTACAGGGCGCCGTGTGCCTGCCCGCGCTAGGCGTGCCCCCTGGGGTGGGAGCCCAGGCCCCGGAGGACTCGCCATGGACTAGAAGGAGCACCTTCGGTTTTTATACGATATGGAACCTACATTTCCCGGCAGGCACCGGCCGGCATAGTGTGGCCGATAGATCTGACACCACTGCCCAGTGTCCCTGGGGCCCAAGTTACGGGGCTCCGGGGGAACAGAAGGGCCAGGGAACAATGAGGTGGAAAGGGAGAAAGCACGGATAAAGCAGTGGAGGGAGGAAGGAAGTGAAGTGTAAGGAAAATGAGTCAAATATCAAGAGTGGGTGGAGAAGGAAGAGGGTCAGGCTCTGGGAGGGCGGGGCCTGGTGTTGGAGGGTGGAGCCTGGTGCTGGGAGGGCGGGGCCTGGTGCTGGAGGGTGAGGCCTGGTGCTGGGAGGGCGGGGCCTGGTGCTGGAGGGCGGGGCCTGGTGCTGGGAAGGCGGGGCCTGGTGAGGCTGAGGGTGGGGTGGGGAAGGGGGTCTGAGAGCTGGGAGGCGGGACTGGTCACTCACCTTCACAGGACACCCGGTCAGCCCGCAGCCTGAAGCCGGGTCGGCACGTGCACAGGAAGCTGCCCACGGTGTTGTGGCAGGCGTGGTGGCAGCCCCGCCGCTCCTGCGGCCTCCGACACTCGTTGACATCTGCAGGAAAGCCTCGCTGCCCACGGCTGCCTGGTCAGGGCTACCAGGCCTTCCTCCCATCATCCCTTAGCCCCAAAGGCCGGAGTCTCCCTGCCCGGGGGATGGGTGTGGCTCAGAGGCCGGGCAGCGGGGCTGAAGTCTGTGCTATGGCCCTCGCGGGGTCATGCATCCAGTGGGCGTCTAATGGGTGCGCCAGGGACTCATCCCCAGCAGCAGGCAGCAGTGATCCAGTGCCGGCTGGAGGGGAGGAGCCGCTGGGAACCGCAATCCACACCTGGCACCATCCCACCCGGCGGGGTCGGTGGGGTGGCCCCTTCTGAGAAAGGAGTCTCAGCGCCCTGCCCGGGCCTCAGGACACACACCGAGTTTGGCTGGAACACGGCCCTGTTTCCGGCCTGGGGACCCCAGCTCCGCCCGCGAGCCCCGCTCCAGCCACACACACTGGAAACTCCTGCTAAGGGCTGAGAAGACAGGGTCTCCTCCTAAACCAGAGGCGCTAAGGCAGAACGTGCGTCATTTACCAAGAGGAGCAAAGGCAGCCAAGAAAAGGGGGGAAGAGGGGAGTCCTGGGGCGTCTCTGGGAGGAGGGGGGGGAGAGCAACAACTGGATGAACTGGCACTCGGCCAGGAAAAGCCCACGGCGGGGTCTTCCCCGAGGAGCCCCACACGCTGACAGGCTCGGGGACCAGGAGGTGCTGACTGCCTGCCCGCCGGCCTCTCCCTGTCCCTGTCCCTGTCCCTGCTCTGTCCATCCTCCTGATTGGCAGCCTACGAGTGGAGACAACAGGGTCCCCGGCCTCACCTACACAGGAGTGCCGGTTGCCGTGGAGATGGAAGCCGGGCCTGCAGGAGCAGGTGTAGCTGCCGATGCTGTTCCTGCATCGCTGCTGGCAGGGCGTCCCCAGGCATTCGTCCGTGTCTGGAGGGAACGGACAAGGCTGGAGCGCTTTCCCGTGGAGTTTTGGAAACATGCGGTCCCTCGTGTCCCTCATCGCCATCTCCTGCCCCACTCGGCCGTGGGGGGATCCCCTTAACCCCCCCTTTCTCTCTGCCCACATTCAGTGTATCCACTCCTCAGCCCCCCGGATCAGCCTTCCCCCCACCCCACCCACATCCTGGCCCCGGCCACCTTCGTCTAGACCAGGGGTGGGCAAACTTTTTGACTCGAGGGCCACAATGGGTTCTTAAACTGGACCGGAGGGCCGGAACAAAAGCATGGATGGAGTGTTTGTGTGAACTAATATAAATTCAAAGTAAACATCATTACATAAAAGGGTACGGTCTTTTTTTTTTTTTTAGTTTTATTCATTTCAAACGGGCCGGATCTGGCCCGCGGGCCGTAGTTTGCCCACGGCTGGTCTAGAGCAGCGGTTCCCAGCGTGGGGCACACGCCCACAGGGGGGCGATGTGATTTTTAAGGGGGGCAATTCGAGAATGAGTTATTCACAGTGAATTTCTTTTGCATTTATGGTTCTAGGGGCCTCATATGTAGCAGTATACAAATATGTATCGTGACACGTTTATGCATTTCAGTTCTCTATTATATATTTTGAAACTTTGCTATTTTTTCCTATCACTTCATATAGTTATTTTTTTAACAATTTCTTAGTGATTTCTTCCTCAGAACTTCAATTGTCCTTTCGTTCTTTTATTTTTCTCCTTCGTGGATGCCATGTTCTTTGGAAGCTTGTTTAGACCAAGTTTATGGCCTTTTGGGCTTCCTCCACGTGAATAGGGGTTCACTTTTTGAATAATAAGAATTATATGTCACGGGGGGAGGGGAGGTATCAGGATTTTAGAGACGCTTAGGTGGGGCGCGGCCAGAAAAAGGCTGGGGACCACCGGGCTAGAGTCTGGAGAACAGCCCTGCCTCTCCCTGCGCTCCCCCCAGGCCTCCCTCTGCACAGCCTCCCAAAGGGCACCTCTGACCAGGCCCCTCTCCCTCCTTGGCTCCCGCAAGCACCGATGCAGCACCAGAGTTCACAAGCCCTGGGCTGCCCCTTCCCCGGCCTCCCCTGCCCCTCGCCTTTGCCCTGGCTTAAATTCTTGCCCTCTTCCAAGTGCACCCCACTCTTGTGGGCCTCCCCTTTGCCCATGTCCTCTTGTCCGCTTGGACTGCCTTTCTGTCTCGTCTGCTGGAAAACTCCTACTCATACCTCAAAACCCAGCTGCTATAGCACCTCCTCTGTCAAAGCTTCCCCATGCCAGTATTTGCAAAAGTGAAACCCTACATGTCCATCGTAAGAGAAGGGTTAGGAGCTGCGGGATGTTTGTGCTGCAGGGCACCAGGCCACAGTCTAAGAGCAAAGCAGGGCTGTGGGCCCTGACGGGAGAGATCTCCAAGGCAGATTGTTGGAGGGGAAAGCAAGCAGCGGAATGACTGGGCTCAAATTCCAGCTCCGACACGATCTCGGACAAGTTATTTCATGTCTGTAGGGCCCAGTGTTCCTATCAGGAAAATGGAAATAAACTTCATAGGATAATTTGGAGGATGAAATGAGAAAACGCATCCACATGCTTAGCAAGGTGCCCATACACAATCATTCAGGACTGTGCGCTGTTCATCTCTTATTACTTCTCTGTAATAGTGTGTGTGTGTGTGTGTGTGTGTGTGTGTGTGTGTGTACATGTGCTGGGGAGAGGCAGGCAGATTGATAACCAGGTGCTACGGATGAATCGTGTCCCCCAAATTCACATGGTAAAGCCATAAACTCCCAAGTGATGATGTCAGGAGGGGGCCTTTGGGAATTCGGTTTCGATGAGGTCTGGAGGGTGAGGCCCTCAGGATGGGATCGGTGCCCTTAGAAGAAGAGACATCGGGCTGGGGGACCTGGAGGTCCAGACTGCCGACCTTGCCCTGCCCCTGGGCTTGCCCTGTCCTTCAACCCTGGAGCCAAGATCCCTCTCTCTGCCATCTGCGAGCCCTCACCAGGAATGGAGTGGCCTGGCACCTGGACCTCAGACTTCCACCTCCAGAACCGGGAGGCTAAACTTGTGTTGTTCCAGCCACCCCGTCCGTGGGGTTTGGTTACGGCACCTGAGCTAAGGCCCCGGGTCACTCTCTGGGGCGAGCGGAGTGCAGGAGGGAAGAGGGCCGGAGCTGGCGGCCTTTAAACCTTTGTTTACAGTTGATGACAACAGCCAACAGCAGAGACTCACACTGCAGGGCCCAGGGGGACTGTGTGTGGCTGCCTCACCTCACTGCTTCCTCACCTCACTTCTGTGAGTGAAAGTCACCCTAAGATCGCTCTCACCCTGCTCACCTAGGAGGGAGGCGCCTCCTCTCCCGTGGGTCCCCCGCACCTGCCCCCGTCCCAGCCTCGCGGCTTTGCTCCCCACCAGGCTGGGCCGCTGGCAGCCGGC